AATGACTGTCCGCTGGGCGAGGAGTACCTCCACTTGTTTGAAAGTTCTGAAGGGCGCTTAGACGTCCAGCCCGCTGCCCAAAGCTGTCGACAAAGGTGCTTGAAGTCAACGGCCCGCACAGCGTCGGCGACCGCTGTCTCTCTGGTAGTCGCGCTTGACCGGATTCTTGCCATGCTGGCTAATTCTGGAATGGCCACCAGCCACTGACCTGATCTGAGGACTCATCACATGAGAGCGATCTGCAGCACACACACACCCTTTCTTTATCCGGTCCAGATTTGGCCTCTCCCAGCTTATACTTTTTCTCGTAAATTTAAACTTGTTTTCAGTATGGTCTTCGTTTTTTCGAGCCATTTGCTGTTTAAACCTCATTCTACGTCGTAACTTACTACTTTCCCCCTTCACAAAGTCGCAAGTTACGACGTTGGTAGCGGAGGAATTAAAGGGGACAAGTTCAATGGATCGGAGTGGTAGGGCGCTATTAAGAAATTAATATTAGACAGTATGTTTAATGTCTGGGGTAATGTGTTTGGTCGAAACTGCACCATGTCTGCAACTTTTCCCAACCAGTTTGAAAATAATCCGTCCTTGTGGAGTAATTGGTACAGTCTGGGAAAGAAGAAACGTTTTACTGTTTGCATACGAGCAATTACGGTGTGAGAGCAAGCTCAGAAGTCACGCTCGTAAACATTATGGATAGCTCCGGATAATATGCCAAGTTTCCAGCTTAATTTCTAATAAAACTTACCTAATGTCAGCAGTAAATAAAAAATTTCATCATTCTAAGCTTCTCGAAACGGTTTTAAATCCAATCAGTCGCTTTTCTCTGTCTGCTCAGTTGCAATGTCAATGAGCTGTTGTTGTGGGGTAACACTAACAATATTTGGATATTTTTGAAGCTGTAACAGTCTGAGTCGTTCAATTCAAATCTCAAGCTGTCATGTAGTAGTAATCGTGTATTTTTGATAACAGATCCATTTAGAATGCACAATACTGATTTTCAGCTGCTACCACTGGACTCTCGTTTCTCCTTTGTTACAACGTCGCAACTAGAGAACTTTCGAAGCACACTAGATTTGAGGCTCAGTTTCAGTACAACACCTTTTTATGCAAACTGAAACTAGAATCCTTATCAACCAAAGGTGCGTTTTGAACTGTCTCAGCTTCAGCTCGACGAGTTACAGGCTAACGGCAGTGACAGTGGAAGAAGCGATGCCAGACCGGGAGACTTATGCAGTCACACCGCTTGCCTTGCCCACGGACACGTCGCCCAGTGTACGTAAAAACTTTACAGTGACTAATGGCCTTATTTTGCTCCGCTGTGCAAGCCTAGTGAAGCCATGGGAGGCTGCCGTGGGCACAGCAAATGGATTCATGAAGGCCTTTGAGATTATAGCAAAAAAAATACCGCGCTGTTAACGGACTTTTGAAGAAGGACGGCCCTGCCCTGCGTACTCGCTTTGGTCGGCTAGTGCGTATGTTCCGGGAGGCACAGAGAGCTTCTGTGCGGGCCTCTGGCACCACTGAAGAGTACCGAGAGCGCGTCGTACTGCTACAAGACATCGTAAGCCGTATGGGCAATTGGAAGGAGCTGGATGATGAAGAAAAAGCCAAGGAAAGAGCGAAGAACAAGGAATTGAGACGTCGGCAGAGCTGATGGAGGCTGGCTATGGGAGAGATGGACCAGATGGACGACGGGGAGGAGGATGACCAGGGAGATGATGGCGGCGTCAGCGCTGCTGTGGGCGGAGATTCGACCGAGCAGCAAAGTGACGACAGTGCTAGTCACCGCTGCTCAGGAGAATCTCCTGGATCCGGCCGGAAGAGAGCGGCGACATCTGGAGCTCATCGTGTCCAGAAAGTCAGCAATCGTGAGAAGCTAGGAGCCGTCGCTGACGGGATTGCCTCTGCCATCGAGCGCTCGATCGGTGACGCCAGTTCCAAGTACGAGTACTTGCGAGAGCGGCTGCAGTTTGAGAGGGAAGAGGCACTCAAAAGACTGGAGTTTGAAGAGAAACGCATGGCTGCTAATCAAGATAGAGAGGCGCGACGGGAAGCAGCTGAGCAGCAGCGAGAACGTTTCCTACCAAGAATTCATGCTCAAGCTTTTGCAAATAGCTATGAATAAAACGAATTACAACTTGAGTCGTTATATCTTTGTTTAGCTACAGAGATAAAACTCTAATGATGGAGGTTTCATTCCAAAGTACATTGAAATTTTATTTCCACGGGGCTGTATGCAAGTATGACAGTTTGTTAGCAAAGCAGCTTATCATAAATAGCTGTCCAACCGGTGTTTGGCGTACTCTCATTTTCTTGTCCCAATTTACAAAAGACCACAATATCTTCACTCGACAGAACCCCCATTCCACTGCTTCACGAACACTGCTCATGCGGAAGTAAAATATTGCTTGGAGACTCCCTGACTCACTCGGAGCAAACGGGCAGCAAAGATAGTCGTTGGTGCCGTATGCAGGGTCGCCATAAATGACTCTACCTTTAAAATAACTGTCGTGTCCCAACACTTCCAGCTATCCGCTCATGCTCAGCATAGTTAAATCGTGGCGCCTTCCTTCCACAGGGCCAAAAACACAGAAAGTAGGCCGTCCGGCGTCGTTACAGTCTAGGGTGGCCGTTGTAGACAGAGCGCGGCAGGTTCTCGAAAGAGGAGGCTGGGTTGCTGCGTGTGCTAGGTCGCGCAATGTATTGCTTAATACCATCAATAAACTTCCAGCATGAACGAAGTGGGGCCCTTTTCATTGCGATTACTTCGCAATAGTCGTCAAGACGATTGACTACGATACTGTGAGCGAAATATAGTCGATCTGCATGCTCATTGTAAAGAATAGCGACAGTCTCCTTGCAGATACGGCTGTAAGCAGCAGTTCACCGCCCAAACTCATTGGCTACAGTAAAAAGCTTGGACGGCTCGGAAAGCCTGCGGCAGACCACTACGAGAGCCTCAACGCTGGGGAGAGTGTCACCGGTCGGTGTAAGTAGTAGTGGCTGGGGTAGCCGTAGCTTGATAGACAAACACTGAAGTTCCCCAATAGTGAAGTTGTAGCGAATACGGGCTGTAGCGTCATCCATGTCTAGGTCGAAGTGGCTGTCGAAATTGATACGAGGACCACGCTCGAGAAGACGAAAGCAATGGTTCTCTCTGAGAGCGAACATTATGGCCAGGAATCGCCGCCGCTTGCCTCTAGCCGCTGCCCAGGCGCTGCATATGATAATTGAAGCTTGGTCGGCCGTCAGTTTGGGCGCCACGAACACCATCTTGGTCGGCACTGTGCCTCTGGCGCTCCACTCAAACTGAAAAGGTAGTTGAGCTAGAAGCCCCTTTTGCTCTACCCTAACCAGCGATAGAGTTGAGTTTCAGCCCTTCCGCGATTACGGTACTATCATTAGCTGAAACTGGAACTCAAATCACTGATTTTTTGGTCTTCGAAAGTTCTCTACTGTGGGTACCACTCCACTTGGCCTAGCGTCTCGAAATGCCAAGTTTTGTCGTGAAGGGCTTTGATTCGTCTTAAATGAGTCTGGTCTCATTGGTATTCAGAAGCAGACCATAATTGTAGGAGTTCTGACCAATAATAATGTTTTTTTACATAAAGGCCCCTTCATTTCGTCACAACAGTTTGTCTTGTTTTTGAATTACCATCTCTTCTAAGTGTAAGAAATTGGACAAGTAGGACAACACGACGCACTTAAAGGGGACAAGGAAAATGGATCGGAGTGGTAGGGCGCGATTAAGAAATTAATATTAGACAGTATGTTTAATGTCTGGAGTAATGTGTTTGGTCGAAACTGCACCATGTCTGCAACTTTTCCCAACCAGTTTGAAAATGTCCCGTCCTTGTGGGGTTATTGGTAGACAGTCCGGGAAAGAGAAAACGTTTTACTGTATGCATACGAGCGATTACGGTGTGGAGCAAGCTCAGAAGTCACGCTCGTAAACATTATGGATAGCTCCGGATAATATGCCAAGTTTCCAACTTGAATTCTAATAAAACTTACCTAATGTCAGCAGTAAATAAAAAATTTCATCATTCTAAGCTTCTCGAAACGGTTTTAAATCCAATCAGTCGCTTTTCTCTGTCTGCTCAGTTGCGATGTCAACGAGCTGTTGTTGTGGGTAACACTAACAATATTTGGATATTTTTGAAGCTGTAACAGTCTGGGTCGTTCAATTCAAATTTCAAGCTGTCATGTAGCGGTAATCGTGTATTTTTGATAACAGATCCATTTAGAATGCACAATACTGATTTTCAGCTGCTACCACTGGACTCTCGTTTCTCCTTTGTTACAACGTCGCAACTGTGGGTACCACTCCACTTGTCCTAGCGTCTCGAAATGCCAAGATTTGTCGTGAAGGGCTTTGATTCGTCCTGGTCTCATTGGAATTCAGTAGCAGACCGAAATTGTAGAAGTTCTGACCAATAATTAATTTCATAACTAAAGGCCCCTTCAAATTCGTCACAGACTTCCTGGGTAGCGAATATCTTTCCGCGATCGAGCCACCACCGTCGCACGCTGCCCCCATCCAGCTTTTTACCTTTTTGCACGGAAGTGCTTAATGCCTTCGTCGTTAATCCACTGCAGATACTGATAGGGGATCTTGATGGCATTTTGTAGAATGAGATGCTGCAGGAGCCACACTGAAGTGGGTGGTGGTCAGGCTGCGGTCAATGACAGCGAGTTATCAACATCACGCTACATCTAGGCTAATACACATGGATGGGTACTTTTCGGGCAGAGGGTATTATAGTAGCCGGAATATATCCGTTATTAATAAGCGTACTTTTATTATATAATCCTCTTGCTTCAAATAAAAAATGTTTCTTTAGATTTTATCGTAACTGAAAAAACGTACTTTTAGCGAGCTGCGCGGTGAAGGATGCAGGCGAAGCAGTATGAGGTGCGTTGACATGTTTTTCTGCTCGTCTGAATACTAACAACTACATTAGGAGAGGATTCTTAAACTTCAGGATGCACTAGAGATGCAGAAGCTCAAGAATACGTGTGAGTGGTGTTGAGTGCATTGCTATACCGATGCCGAGCTAATCGTCTATGCTTTGCAGCTCAGCTAGGGCGAATTAGGTAAGAGTGGTACGCTTGCAGCGTGAATATTTTTTGGTGAATTAAAGCGGAGTACTGTATGCAGAGCATTAGAAGAACAGCTGGATAAAGTACAAGTAGCGCTCGAAGAAGAACGCGAAGAAAAGTGCGTGCATCTTACAAACCTGAAGCTACGTGGCTAACTCTAGCGTTGGAAAGAGAGACAATTTTGAAGAACCGACAAACAAATCGATTGTTGATGGAGCTCCGAGAAGAGCGTGTGCAGAGATTACAGGATCTGGAAGAGATCTATGCAAAAGACAAGAGGCTGGAGGCTATGACGACCGAAATGGTACGTTCTCTTTGGCTCGCTTCAAGGAAGAAGGTATCTCATGACAATGTATGCGGGCTTGCTAGTCTGCCGCTACACGAGGTATCATCCAGGTGAACGTAGAAATCGCTCACAAAGATGCGGAGCTGGTTGGTCTACGTGCCACAGCGAAATGTAGTGCCAAGCTGCTACAGGTTTGATCTACTAAATTCGTGATCTACTGAAACTACCGGTGTCTTGATAACGTCGCCGCATATCTGCAGAAAGCTGAGCAAGACTTTCTCATCACTCATCAGGATCTTGAAAGCACGCAGCTCAAGTTGCTGGACTGCAAACGGTGCGAACACCCAACTCGAACGTGAGTTTGTCCTAACTCGTCTGAAATTATCCCAGTAAGTTATCTGTCAAAGATCGCGAGGTCCGCATGTGGATCGAGAGATACGAACAAGTCATGATGGATCTCCACGCTTCGCAATTCCGCCTTACGCAATTGGCACGAGGTACTCAGATCAACTCTTACCGAAAAATGGAGAGGTAGAGCGTTCTAACAAGAGTCGTTGTAGACGCAAGCTCCAAGGAAGCAGCACTAACGGTAACCTCGATAAAGCGGTCTTCACAGCAGCTTCGCTAATAATTTCCGGTGTTGCAAATTTGGAATGTCGAAGTAGCGAGGGCTCGCAATAGACATCGACAATCCCGCGAATGGACTTGCAAGTCTCCGTCCTCGTCCAGTGCCTTTGATGAAGCCTGTTGGGCTACATGATCGCGCTGTTCGGAGATATCGACGAGATCAAATTTGGAATCGAGCGCACGCCAGCACAGCCAGCATTTCAAATATGCAGCCAGCCTCTCGCTTGAAACCTGTACACTCGGCTGGCTCACTTCCTCCTGCCCATGCTACAGCAATACCGCCACTCGATCCGACGCCTATCGTAAGCCGCGATTGTTTTCAGTGTACAGCGACGACGACGCCAAAGAATCGGTGAGAGTTATTCAGCATTGGGTTGTCTAGTTAGTGGACTTACACCATTGCTTATTGCAGAACTCCCGCCATACCAAGAGACGAACGCGACTCGCCGTACGATTTGATCTTGATGCGCTGAGACGAGAAACACTTGCAAAGCTCACGTATGCTCATAATATCGTCGTTTTGTGCACAGAGAAACTCGCCCAGGGTCAAAATATCTTGGCTATGGTCTGGGGCTTCTCAAGAAAAATCACATCGTTCCGGATAATAACTACAATTAATCATTTGGGCTAGTACATTTCGAAGCGTCACAGCGATATTGTTGTACGTCCTCGAAGTCGCTCGTCCGACGATGTCTTGCAGTGCTGAGCCACGCGCCCGATAGCAGTAAGGAGGTCAGTTGAAGCTCGAGCCAACCGAATCCCGTACGAGTCCATTTGATGGCCCGAAATTTGCTTGAATCGATGATCAACCTTTAGATCACGGAAAGCAGAAGGAGCGAATCGGTACGCACTTAGCTTTGCCGACACTGGTAACTCAGTACCGACAGTAAACAGTGTACCGATCGTAGCTGTTGTCCGCTTGGATAATGCCACATAGACGGTCTGCAGGTAAGAGAGCACAAGCTCAACCAAATCAACCAGCTCCAACATCGGCCGGCTGTCGTTGAATGTGATCGCTTCACACACAATTCCGCACAACTCGGTCAACAAGACACAGCTATAACAAGTCAGCAACAGAATGAGTTAGCAAGGCGTTGGAGACGCTCGGACCATAAAAAAGACGTACCAGATAATGCTGCTCACAGCTTCTTCGCCAGGTACGAGCTTGATCATGCATTCCACTATCCATTCGAGGCAAAAGTGGAGCTCACTCAGCTGAAAATCAAAGGGAGCCAGACTGTCCTCGTCACTTGTAGCATCAAGTTCATCAGCACTTCCGTTTTTCAGGTTCAAGTTGGCGTGATTGAGAACAGCGCGCACGAACTGACATAAAGGCACCATCGTTTCCAGCAACGTAGTAACGTCTTCTTCTAGCACGAAGGAGAAGGTTTCCCGCGCGAAATCATCCAATACAAACTTCCGGAGTTGCTGGAGACGTTTACAAGACGTAAGTCGCGGTTGAGCTCGTGAATGCTCGAATGACCTCGTGCATCTACAGTTGAAGAGGCCACACGACAAATAAAATGCTTCTCGTCGAACTGTCTTCACATCAATATCTACGGTGGCGCCTTTGGAAGCCTCGTCGTCTGGGTAATAATTGTGAATTCCCAGAGGTCCATCAGGATCCAAAATATTCACGAGTAGCGTTCTTAGATGAGATTTTTTCCATCCGGCCTTGAACGTCTGGTAAATCTCTGACGTCTTCAATACAGTGCACAGTTCTACTTAGTACTATTGGATAGTAATAACACAAAGTCTAAAGCTGCAACATACCTGTGCAAACCAATGTAACAAGCTGGGGTACTTCTGACGAGCGAAAAAGAGCTGAACACTGTCCACAAACCGCATCGAGGCCGAACAAAAGCCTTTCCGAAGCTCGTCATTCACACTTCGAGCTCCATCTCGTCGGACCTGTCGTCGTTGATCTTCCAGTAACTTAATTGCTAGAGGGTACTCGGCGCTATTGACTTGACGAAATAGCAGCTCCATCGCGCTAAAGAAGAGATTATTTTCTCCAATCGCCATCTCGCCACAGTAGAACAGCAATGCATCAATGCATTGATACATGAAGCGAAACATCGTGGTCAGTCCCGTAAGTCTCTCGTCAAACGATTTAATCGTGTCGTCCATTTCGTGATACGATCGTCCTCCTGTGGTATTCACGCCAGCCTGCCGGAGAAACAACTTGCCATACATATGCCAGCTGTGATTCCAATGGTCGATCTCTTTACAAGCTCGACGGAAATTCAGCTTGTAGGCCCTGCAACATACGAAAGGTTAATATTTCAAAATAAGAAAAATAGCCAGCGTGTCGGATCTGACAGCAGCACTTACTCGAGGAATGAGACGAAGATTCCAGTCGGAGCGTTCACCATCTTGATTCGAAACTGGTTCATCTCCTGCCGATCGGTCGTGCGAGAAGCAGCGAGCGTACTCCAAGTGTTGCCAGCACTTTTACAAAATGACTGGAATACATCCAAATGGAGATCGTACAATGTGGCGACGTCGTGAAGTCCTGCTCCGTTCGCACGCACCGATGAACGAAATTTGCATGTGGATGCTACGTCACGTAACAGCTTCAGTATCTGTGGATCCATTGACCCAAATCCTACCGAGTCACTGCGGAGTAGATGATACATGATGCCGTCCGTCAACATGACCCAGTAGTCTGAATCACGAATACGACTCTGGTTGAGCGTAGATTCTTGACTCACCCCGAATGGAACATCCTCCAGCTTAAACACGATTGGAGTAGAGTTTAACGCCGCAACGTCAAGCGTTCCCAACAGCCACGCGGTACACAGTTCTTGATCTGATCCATTTTCTCTCAGGAACTCATTTCTTAGCCATTCCTTCTTGGGGTTATACTTCAGTGCAGCACCTAGCACGCGAGGTGCAAGATTTCGGGGCTTGGCGGTCGTAGACGTCAAATAATTCCAGAAAAAATGAGCTGTGCACGCAGAAATAACCCTCCCGAGCAAGTCAATCGCGTAGAGTTCGTGGAATGTTGGACCATCCGTCGAGGGGTAATTCAGCACAAGCTGCTGTACAGCCACTCGCAACTTGCTCGTGACCAATTGAGCCACTTTAGGTCTGCATTTCTCTATGGTCCATGCTGGAGTAACACTAGGGCCACGTCCCGAAAGCAGCTCCATGTCTGCTTCCGCCAGTGCAGCATCCAAATCACTGTCAAACCCTGAAATCAGTGCGAAACACTGCTTTGGCTCATCTGGCGCTCGAGGGAGCACAAGCTGGAATATCTCCATCGCAATCTTCAGATCGGTAGCAGTAATGATCTTTTGGGTTGCAGCAGTCAAGCATGCCTCCAATCCAGAGCTAAAAACATGTTCAAGACTCTTTTCAACAGCAGCGCCAAACGCTGGTCCGACTCGTATACCCGATGAAGGCATCTCGAGCATCTTCCTGATCAGATCACGCATTTGGTAGAGTGAGGACATTGCTGCGTCTAAACACAACGAGACGTTGTCAGTGCCGATTGTTAAATAAGGTACACACGACTTACTTTGGAGCCGACGCCGACGCTCATGTAGTGCCTCACTAGTTTTGATGACTGTACCAGTTGACTGCTTCGGCGTGGGAGATGGGAGGGGGGTGGTTTGCAGCTTATTCACGGACGATACCAGTCGTTCATTGAGACGCCAGAATATTGTGGGAAATTCAGTCGAGTTCTTCTCCAAGAGCACAGCGCCAAGTGTAAAGAGGGCTTGAGCCGTTAAAACCTCACACTCAGACTTCCCTGATGTGCATCGCAGAATCTCCTTGCAGTAAAAATCCACCTCTCGCTCCAAGTATCTGACGTCTTTCGCGGGTCGCTCGCCTGGAAAATGCTGTTCGTCGCCGCATTCCATACAAATTCCCAGTATTGCGAATACGAGTAGTACTGACGTGCTCAGTCGTTCCTAAATAGCACCATCAGAGTCACGCATAGTTCGAGGTCAGAGTCAAATCAAGGAGAAAAGAAATGTGTTATGGACAGGATGGCGAACCTGTCCGATCTTAGAAGCCCTTGGAGATCGCTGTGGTGGTGCTTCGGGTTGTTGAGCTGGCTGTACACTGGCTAGTGTGGGCTCTTTTCCCCAGTTCCAATCTATACGTGAGCTTTGTGGCACTGCTTCACGAGCTGATAGTGGCGTTCCGGTGGGAGCCTGTTGATCTGGAATTGCGTTGAGAACAACGCGACGGAAACGAATCCGATGGACGCGCTTTTCAAGTTTCAACAGCTGAATCTGTTTATTGGCAAAGCCACATCACAATTGTTAGTGCTGTAAACGCGCTTAAGACTTTCAATCCACTTCTTACCCAGATGATTGTGCAGAGAGCAGTTGTTAAGTCTCCGTCGTCGCTGTGTTCTCCAGCAAACGCAGCAAGTCGAAGTCTTGAGTTACCAAGCTCTTTGCATCGAATGATAAACTGTTTCAAGATTTGGGGAAGCTCAACGATATCATCTGGGCGGTGTGATACATTGTTTCCCCACAGCTCGCGCAGAATAATCTCCACGACCTCTACAGAGTCATTGTGCCAGCCAGCAAGCATTAGCGTTAAGCGGGTCAAAGTCGACTGGTAAAGCAGACAAACCTTTGGATGGATGCCACTGCTTTGAGAACGTTGTGATACGCTTCAGTACGTGCTGCTTGTACAGATCTGTCGTATGCACCAAGTAAGTTCTCTGCGTAAAACCCGATAAATATCATAGGTAATGGGGACTTACTGGCGCACTGACGGTATCCTGGCTGCAAATTCGACGCCTGGCTAGGAGACAAGTTGAATGGAAGGAAATCTGGCTTGCCCGGCTGGAGGAGGTCTTTAACAACAGCCCACTTTGCGTCACATCTGCCACGCAACACACTTTCAGCACATACTCAAGACAACAACTTGACTGATTGGCCTACTCACACAGCGTCCTCGTGCTTGTCGTCATCCGGAAGGGCATAGATTCGAGTCAAAACACCAAGTAGATCCCAGGTAGCTTCTAAAGCCAGTAGCTGACTTTCAAAAACCTCGTCGCAGTCTTCAGTTTTGCCAGCACCCGTAGCACTCCGCTCAAAATCTCGTAAGTATCCTCCGCAAGATTCACTTCGAGCGAAACACCGCGCTAACTCATCGAAATAGCGCTGTCGATACACAGCTTGCAGCATCGCCCAAAAGTGTTTTTCTTTCCCAGATAATGACTCGTGACCGGGCTGATCCACTCCTGTGGGACTTGAGCAGCAACCACGAACCAACATCCACAGTGACAATGCTGGGGAGGAACCGCCCTGTAAGCCGTCGACTCTATTCTCCTCCATACGATGAGATGACGGGAGGTAGATGTACAAATCAAACAAGAAGAGCACGACGGCCAGAATGAACCTGTTGACCGGCAATACTCTCCTAAAAGCATCCTCTACCTCTTGCTTGATCGTCTCGTATGATCTGACTAGACGGTCAGACACAGATCGAAGAGCTACGAGCACATTAAGGCAATACCAGTACGTACGCGAGACTGCTGTCAAGAAGGGCGTTGTTGCTGCGTCTCTGGAAGCCACCTCGAAGAAATAGAAATACGCTTTGCACCCGTTAAACAATGAGTCGCAGTCGGGGAGCTGTCGAATAAGCGCTGTAATCTCCTCCAAGATAACTTTGAGGCAGCTTGGCAAGGTCGACGGAGAAACTCCTTCAAGGGTCAGAAACAACTGGACTGCAAAGCTAGCGATAGCCCTGTGGTAAGCCTCCTCGAGTGAGACCAGTACAATCCACTCAGAAGTCCCTGCATAGCCCTCATCATCGACAGCGCCTAGACCTCCTCTCGAAAGGGAGTCCATGAAAATGTTCTCTTGAAGCCGGAGATCATTCACAAGTTGTCGAAGGCGAGATACTCGTCTTGTGAAGAGAGCTCGAAAGTTGTCGCAGTCTTCGAGTTCATATTCCTCGTCGGAGAAGAGATGCCGTGGGGCCAGGGGTCCGCAAACTGGATAGCCAAATGCCAGAAGTGCTTCTTGTTCCTGACGAGAAATTGGAGCATTAACATCCTCACCAGCGGATGAATCGGGATCATCGACCACAACCTCGAAAATGGCTTCCCAGTCGATTTCAGGGTTGCTCCGGTGGATAGTAGCATTAACAGTGGCTGCTGGTCGCAGTCGTGTCGCTGGGGTAACGTCGTCGAATGCGATGCCCGGTGGATACACAGCTTGAGAGATACTTCGCATGGTTTGTGGGGCAGATCGAGCGACAATCGACTCACGTGGCCGCTGTTGCTTTGGCTGGGCACGGAATCTTTCGTTACGAAGTTGGATTCGTTGAGCTTGGACAGAAATTCTATCTTCTCGGCGTGACACGTTTGTCGAACGTGCTTCATGGACTGCGTGTACACTTCCATGCCTATTGGACAAATCAACAGATGACGGCCCAGTCGATCGGTCTCGAATTCCACTTCCAGCGCGCTGCTGCTTCTTGCGGGCAATTCTGACCCAATCGAAGCGAGGATCCGACGGAAGAATCTTCTTTTGTCTTCCAGTAAGCCGGAAATTCGACCTGAAGCTGTTGCTTGGTCCTTGTTGAGGGAAATAGTCATCCAGCGTTGTACTTCTCGCGACTTTTTTCCGGTGACTCGTCTTCAGGACATCGGGTCGAGGTTCTCGGACCTTCAACACGCGACTGGGTTGTCGTTTTTGCTTCCGTGAATTGCTTGCATTGTCGACTTCGTAGTCAAACGAGAGGTCGATATTGTCTGGAGCTGCATCAACGGCAGCTGTATCGTTGGGGAGGTCGTCTGCGTCGAAATCGTCGGCTGAGTAGCTGCTGTCCGATGAGTATTCTGCCTGTGCAACTTGCACGATCGGGACTTGTGCATTTCGCCGCGCAAATGCCCCCTCAACAGCATCCTTGACTGTGTTAACCCAACGAGAGCAATCTTTTAATTTCCCCTTCCAAACACCGATATCAGTGTCTAGTTGCTCAAATCCGACAGGCTAAACATCAAACAAAGCGTACGACTTAGTGTCGTTGTTCCCGACATAACATACAGCAGATCAACAGCAGAGCTACATACCGCCTTGCCATGGCTGTCAAGTTTATTAGAGATGGAGTCCATCACATCTTCACCGGCGTTAACTAAGGTCTTCGTCAAGAAAACTTTCTCCAAGTTGAATACCTGAGCTCATAGCAAGACTTAGGTGATCTCAGGAGCATAATCGCCAACGTGCAGCACCAACCACTAACCTTACGATGGAGATCTTGAAGATCACTCAACGGCATCTCTGACAAGTTCTTCAGTTCTCGATCCACCGTTTTCTGCTCCACGTGAAAGTCGGCCATATTTTTCTGCTGCTGCGCGAAAACCTCCTGAAGCTGTTTCATCAACCCGTCTTTTGTCTTTTTCAGCCGAATGCCTGTTTCTCGGACGACATCTGCGGGAAGTTCATCGGGGTTTCCTTCTGGTTGAATAAACGTGCCATCAGGATCTTCTTCGTTGTGTTCATATCCTCCAACGTAGCGCCGACGGCTGGCTTTACGCTTCTTCCTTTGCCGTCTTTGCTGTTGGTCGACAGACTTCCCCCCAGTGTCTGGAGCACTTCCTCCACCAGCAAGCAAATCAATAGATCGCACGGCATTCCGCTGTAAATGCTCAGACTGGTCTGGACTATGGCTCCGGTTGTCGCCTGGATCGTCACCATCGCTACTGTCGTCGTCACTGCTGTCCAGTATGCGAAGTCGTCGTCGCTGCTTTACAACAGATTGCTTCACACGAGGACTTGGGGCTTCAGTGTCCGTAGGTGGTCGACTCGACGCTTCTAGCGAGCTCCTGTTTCTCTCCGACAGAACGAACATATCCTCGTCAATCTTGGGTACGACGCGTTTGTCTTCCCTCTCGTCGCCACTAGATGGCGGGTCCTCGTCCGGTTTGTCAGGAGCTCGTTCAGTACGAGTCGACCGTTGTGAGCGCTTCCTCTTCCTGCGTTGCGGTTCGCGTGTTTCCGCTTGTTCAGGGTGTGTCATCACCTGCGCGCGCTTTCTCTCTGCTTCTCTCTGCTTCTGCTCATGAGGCTTATTGATATAATCATCTGATGTCACAAACGAACAGCAATGAAAAAAAAAACACGTTAGCATCCTTAGGAGCACTGGACCAATCGAGCAATCATGCAACGAACCGTGATAGTACTCCCTGCCAATTTGCTTCCGGTTGGAGTGCCTATTTAAGAAATCGGACGAGTGCACATACTCGCGCTCAATGTGTCTTTCGAAGCCGCCCTCCACAACGTAGCGCACGTCGTAGAATATCTCTTCGCCTTTCCCGTCATTTGACTTCTCTATGTGGACGCGAGTAATTCGCCCAGCACCTCCCTGTTTGTTGATTCCGGGCCATGTGCGAGACTCCACCTCCACTAACGTCCCCACCTCCAGCACGCCTTCTGTCTCATCACTGTCGTCTTGTTCATTATCTGTCTCTTCTTCATCGTCGTGCTCTTGCTCTTCATTTGTCTCCATTCCTGCGTCTTGTTCTCGATCTTCACTTGTTCCGAATTGGACATTCTCATAGTCTTCAACTGTTTCAAGGTGCTGTGGTGCCACCACGATGGTCGCTCTTTGTTCCTGGTCTTGAGCTTTTGGTTCCGCTTGCCATTCGGTCTGCTCGTGGCCGCCCGCCTCGAGTCTCTGACGCGCGAGTCGCTCCTCCGCCATCGCTAGAACCTCCAGCATCTCCTGCTCGTCTTCGTCCGAGTCGGCCACAAAGTCCTCGTCCTCCATGTTGAACCGATTCCACGCGCACTGATGCTTTTGGCGGGAGATGGTTGATATCGGTATTCAAACGGAATATCGGTTTTTAAAGAAGTAATATCTCGCTGCCATAGTCCCCGTCAAACTCGGTATCATTTACGGATCTCGAGTTGTATTAAGTACCGATATTAGTACTGCAGACATTCCTCTTTGTAGTGATATTATATAAAACACGGTTATTTAGTCCACAGATTGTGGCTGATCAATGTGTGTCAATCTGGTGACTGTCGCAAAGTATTCTCGTTTTTTATTTAATGTTGGTACTAGACTGGTATTAATAGATAGCTGTGCCGCTATCCACAGCTGGAGAGCCAAGGTCCGATTTATCGCGAATTGGTAAAACCACGAGAACGAGGTTCTCGAGGCTAAAATAGGTCATTTGAGAGTTGGCGTTACATGCTTCGACTTCAGCTTCAGAGCGAGCCTGAAAAATCTTTGAAAAACCGATATACCAATATACACTTGCAATCGAGCGGGGCCGCTAGCATAACACTTATAACCGTCTGTCAGTGCGAACAGGCAGACATCGTCAGCTTCACTGCACGCCTGTAAAAATGGTTTGAGTAAAGAAAACGCCAGGTTGGCCCAGCACGTATTCATATTTTGAGCGAGAGACAGCTTAAGTACGAAGTACGATAAACGGCGACTTAAGCACCGTTCAAGATACAGACAATCCTCTCAGCTGTGATAGCTTTGGTAATTTATCTCAAATGAAGGTACATGTATCACATATCAGAGTGAACCAATTTGTAAAACCAGATCAAAGATGTACTGTAGGTTTGTGCTTGCTTAACCGGTGCGACTCGCACATGCATTAGAGGCTGTGTGCAAGCGTTAGATGCACCCATACCTCCATGCATAGCAGGAAGAGGAGGCTGGTCAAGTTGGCTTGCGGTGCCAAGCAAAGTCAAACCATCTTCGCTCTCAAGCTCAGCACAATGCGATCGACCACTCTTTTCTAAGCAGCCCGAATTTGCCTCTCCAGCGCACAGCACCTGTAGATCTATGACTGCAGTACCACGCCTGATCAGCGAAACAAGGCTTCAAGCAGCGAAAATTACTGCCAATGACCATCCTTCCTTGTATAATTCCTTTCCTTAGTTAAGGACTTTTATTAAGTGATAATTTTGAAGTTCAATCACTTACCACTTCTGATTCAGTGGAACGAGATGAGTTTGTAAGTCGTTGATCACCCTATCTGGAGTGTATCACTATTTAGAATATCACGATCGAGAGGATTATCTGAACGAAATGTACATTCTTGCCATTAAAAAAATTAGGCTGTCGTTCTTGCGCCGTACGTGTTCACCGCCTTAGTGTTGCTTGGTGTGTGCGTGCCAAGCCCATGACGCCGCCTGTTCGATCTTCTGTCGCCGCTCGGAGCCGTACGCAACCTGCTCATCGAGTCAAAGAGCAGGTTGCATACGGCGAAGTTCGACGCCAATATGCGACGCCACCTGACCGAGCTTCTGTCGCCACTCGGAGCCGTACGCAACCTGCTCTTCGACGCCAATATGCTGACCTTCGAATGAGCGGCGAGGACTCAACAGTCTCCGTAGGGTCAGTTCGACTGCGCTTGAAACCAACAGCGCCTTGGTCTTTTGCATATCGCAACCACCACGGCCACTACCGAGTCTGCGTAGGCAAGTACATGTTTTTTTTCGGTCGGTCAAGAGTCGGAATCGTTCTCGCACAAATATTTCCTAAGCCGAAACCACAGCAACATCCGTTTCTAAGCGGTTCACACTCAGTGTTCGCAATTACGCGCATTTTACTTGCGCGTAATTGCGAATACTTCAGTGTTGCCGATCAGTTCCACTGTCATTGTTGATTTAGCGACTTCCGCATCACACTACCAGTAACGGCCCCCGCGCAGATTGCCAGACGAAAAGAAATTATGAAGATGGAGGAGATTCCCACGTTTGCTGGTTTGGGCATCCACTCGGAGCGCCACATCGCAGCATTGCGCTCGGCTCCGAAGCACTTTACCAAGGAGCGTATCCAGAGGGCGACTCTGCCCTCAGGGCTTACTTTAGAGTACGCTATCGTAAGCAGCGATAGTGAAGCGGGGACGGAAGATTTCCCGGAGGAACGCGTGGTGCTGATCACCGGGTACACGATGACGAAGGAGGGTTGGGCACCCTCCATCGATATCTTGTTGGACAAGTGGAATACAAAGGCTCATGGCAGGAAGCTCAAAATTCTCAGTTTCGACAATCGCGGAGCAGGGGGGAGCGATGCGCCGTTCGCCCGCTATACGACGAGTGCAATGGCACAGGATACAGTGAGCTTGCTGGACTATGTTGGCTGGGACTCGGCGCACGTCGTTGGCGGCAGGTAGCGTGAGAATCGTGTTGGGTTTTATTGAGATACTTGGTTTTGACTTTGCGTTTGTGTGTCTACAGCATGGGTGGCATGATTGCTACCGAGCTGGCAGCTACAGTACCAGAGCGTGTGCGCTCGCTGTCACTCTTGGTCACGACACGTGGGGCGTATCTGCCGCACCCGAGGATGTGGAAACCTTTCTTGGGGGCCGTGTTGGGCTCGATGCAATGTGCCATGGAGCTGCTCTACCCGAGTGTCATTCTGGATAACCCTATTGGTGGCCGTGACGGGCTGACAGTGCAAGATGTACTGAAGGCGTATCACTCAACGCCACAATGCGAAAATGCTTTTCCCCCTTTGCACGCGCTGGTCGCTCAAGGCGTGGCGTGCTTGACGCACTGGGTATCGGACGAGCGATTGGAACTTGTGGCCAAGGCCGGCTTCCCGATCCTCATCATCACAGGGAAGCAAGATATTATGATCCCGCCTGAAAACTCTGTGACTCTGGTTGAACGTTTGAAGGGAGACCACGTTCACACTTTGTTCTTTGAGACAGGAGGACACGGGGCGTTCTTTCAGTTTGTCGAGGAGATCGCGGTTGGTCTCGTACAAACTATTCAGCGTGGGAGCTGTAAAAAGTGAATACCGGTACCAACCAACCCTGGACAAAACGACGCTTACAAACAACTAGATTATATCCTCTAGAGCTGACTAATTAGATTTCATACCTAATCGAATTCTCTTTTTTTATATTGCTTACAATGATGTTAACTCACAGCTAAAAGCTCAGCTGTAAAACACTAATGCCGTGCGTTTTTTGGCAAGCTCTGGATATTATTCGAAAGTGCTGCGCTTCTAAACTCATTCACTGAATAAACGTTATTTTCTTACAAATTTTGTGAAACTTGAATACACATAAGGTTGTTTAAATGTCGTTCTTGTTCAGTATGCACTTTTTCTGAGATAGGGTCTAGCATTTCCTTATGTATTGCGGCACTGTTAGCTTAACATTATTACGATAAGCCAGAGTATGTTTTTGTGCTGGTTTAACCCCTTGAAACCGGTAGCTGTATAAGCTGCGTTACGATGTGTCGGCTATGTGACCGTTAGGCTGTAAATACAGCATAACGCCAATGGACTTGATTTCTGTAAAAGCGTATACAAACTTCAAAATTCAAATATCGTACAAGAGAAGTGCATGTGAGCCCATCCTTTCAGGTTAGGTGATTAAAGAACAGCTCCTCATTTCTCGATTTTTGGAAATAGATATTTGGAGATTTAAAGCAATCATTTCGCACAACAATAGATTTCCGTAGGTAACTTTCGCGCCAATTCCCCTCTCCACTCAGTTTAGAATTTCGCGGGCGAGTGGGAAGCAATGGTCAGCACGCGTGGAAGCGCCCCGATCACGGGAAACGATACTGTACCAGATACGGGGGTGGCAAGCGCGACGTTCAAGGCCGCATGGGAGACATTCGCCGCTGCTGGTTGGACGTCGAAGGCCCCACGCGGCATCGAGACGCGGTGGAAGAACGGGGCGGATGGAGTCGACTACTTGCTGAAAGAGCAGGCGGTTGTGAGCTACACGCTTGACGGTACGATGGAAGTCTGGGTAAATCAGTATTTTACCTCGCACTAATGATCTTCTTGTACGGACAGTCGCGAGGCAGGAAACCGTGGCCGAACCTGCGAAGCCACCTGCAACCAAACCGCCGAACATAATCTCGAAGAAGCCGGAGACGCCCACTGTCAAGACGCCCAAGGCGCCTGCCTCCAAGAAGTCCACGCCGTCCGCGTCGACCACGTCGTCCGCGACTAAGGCTTCTGCCTCCAAGAAGTCCACGCCGTCCGCGTCGACCAAGTCGCCCGCGTCCAACTCGTCTGCGATGTCCACGTCTAAGTCATGCAAGTTGTCCGCGACCAAGTCGTCCATGCCGGTCTCGTCCAAGGTGTCCAAGTCGGGTATGTTGCTTTGCCCACATGCGCTTATTGCTAGTACGTGTTCTAAATGCTGTATATACTGTGTTGTTGGGCTGTATATACAGCTACCGAGTCCACCAACATGTCGTCCGCGCAGACAAGCAGTGCTACCCTGCTGGAGATATTTGATCCAGCGGAGACTAACGGTAAGCGTGGTCTAGTGTGGTGTATATACATGATACAACAATATTCCTAACTTGTATTTTGCGTTGTATTGAAAGAAGCTGTGTTTGATTCTCATCAAAGCCAAGACGATATTGAATCGGGGCAACCAGGTATGTCCAGATCAAGTTGTATATACACGATACTCTTTTCAACTAACCTGTATATGTATGTCGTATATACTGTTTTAGACGGGAGCTCAACAATAGACATCATTGTCGACGACAACGGCAATATCAACACTGACCCCCACGGAAACAAGGGCTATCACGTGCTAGACTCGGGCAGCGAGTCCGAAGGAGATGATTTGAGTCAAATGTATGGAAGTGATTCCGATTCATCTGCTTCCGACTCTGCTGATGAAGAAGACGAGGAGCTGTACGATCAAGAAGAGCGGTTCTTCGCGGACAAGTTCTAAGCACGCTCGGAGGGCAAGAACAAATTCTTGCTGGTGAAGTCGTCGGCCCCGCGTTGAAAGAGGTCTCGAAGACGGGATGGCATGATGTTGAAACTTCCGACGTCACCGGGTTTTTGGAAAATCCATACACGCCTGTCTCGGATGCTAACGAGTATCCTGGTTTGTGGAGCGGTCATCACGGGCCCACCCAATCAGCGATGAGACGCGAAGGATCCCCTATTTCCCTCTTTTTCCTGTTCATGCCGGTGGCGATTTGGCAGCACATTGCGGAATGTAGCAACTTCTCCATGCATGAACAACTGGATAGCCGAGTCGACGCGTATTTTGAGAGGAAGGAAGAACGGGAACAGAAGAATAGGAGCTCCGGTCGACCCGTGTCAACTACGAAGACGAAGACCCGGCGAGACATCCGACAACAATTTCTATCGGTGAAGCCAATAATGCCACACGAGCTGTGCATCTACATTGGACTATTGATAGCGCGCACCGTGTCACCAAATCGTGAGAAGCTCGCCAATCACTGGCGCTGGGGTGATTTTGGAGCAATCTCTCGTGGTATTTTCGGACGCTTCCTCCCCCGTGATCGCTTTATGGAAATCACCCGAAACCTCCATTTCAACAGCAATCAAGCCCCCGTGCTACACGTGACCGTGCTTGGAAAATACGTTCGGTGGTGACCGTTTTGCAGAAGACGTTTGTACGTGCGTTTATCCCCCCCGCTGAGCTGGCTTTTGATGAAGCGATGCTTCCGTGGCGGTCGTCTTACAATCGCACCCGCGTGTATATGAAAGATAAGCCCCACAAATGGGGCACCAAGCTATTTATGCTTTGCTGTGCACACTCTGCTTATTGCATTCGGTACGGAGGTAAACATGTTTTGCTGTATTAGCTGGGCCACTTATGCCGTATATTCATGTCGTGATGTACAGCTTTGAAGTCTACTGCGGTAGGAAGCAGCATAATGCTGAGAACGGCGCGGTCGACATGCAGTCAGGTCCTGCCGCTGTTGTGCGTAACATGCGAGCCGTTTTTGGTAAAACTCATTCAAACCATGGGTCAATGCGACTCGTGGTGGTTGATCGATTTTACACTTCGATCGTGTTAGCTGTGCAGCTGCTACTCATGGGTTTCTATACTATTGGCACTATCATGACTAACCGTCGGGGTTTCTGCCAATACGTAAAGACGAAGAAGAATTCAAGGCCCAAGACCATTCCACGAGGCACCTTGTCGTTCGCACGGCCAAAGCTTGTGAAAGGGATGACATCAATTTGCTGGTGGGACAGCAAACCTGTCCACTTTCTCTCGGTGGGAGGAAACATTGCGTTGGATCGTGTGCAACGACGCGAGAAGACTGGAGAGCAAAACTACGTGGCGTGCCCTAAGGTAATCAGGGATTATCATCGCTACATGGGCGGAGTTGATGTCCATGATCAACTCCGCCTACAACGATACTCTGTCCAGCGCTCGATCAAGTTCCGAAAATACTACAAGTCCCTGTTCTTGGGCCTTGTTGATTTAGCGATCACCAACGGCTTCATTGTGCATCGCGCTTACTGCAAGAATATGAAGATCAAGCCTCTGACACACGTGCAGTACATGTGCAAACTGCACCAGGATCTTCTTGCTCTCACAGTGGACGACATGTACGAGGAAAACACGTTTCAACCGGGTAAGTCATTGTGCTGTATCTACCGCTTTGGTTAAGCTGTACATACGGCTGAGTTAACCTGTATGCGTGGTAGACGAAGCAGCTTCTGCTAACGAAGGCGGTGGAGTTGAGGAACCTGATTCTACTGGTCATGTGGCTAAGCAAAGTGAAGAATGGCGAGATCACTCCGGCCAGCGAAAGCGTGTCCAGAAAACTGCAAGGTCTGTACACTCAAAACACCAAATGGCAAGCGCGGAGCTACTTCGACATACTTCTGTGACGGCTGCGACTTCCCCGGGCCTATATATCTTTGCGTAAAGCCGAAGTGGATCGTGAGTGACAAGATGTTGAGCTGCTGGGACGTCTGGCATAAGGAGTACAAGAACGGCAAGGCCATTCCGGAGGTCTTGAGAGGCAGGATCCGCGTACGTGCGCCAAAGACCGCAGGATCGCCCGGAAAATCGCCTGCCAAGCGCCGTCGCGTTGATTCTGAGTAGGTTTGGTCTTGGAGAGTTGAATAAAACGTGGTTGGATCCAGAAGTGAGACAGTTTATGGTTTGATCAGGCAAGCACTCAAGTCCACTTGCTCACCGCGGTTTGATGACAGGAGGCAGAAACGACACATATTTGGTCCGAAGTGATTTCATTGGCTGGCGTACAGGACGTCATCACCGGATTGCAGGACAAGTGTATTACCTTGACTTACTTTCAGTATAGGTCAGTTAGTTGTCCTGCCTCTATTACTGTTTTCGGATTTTTAGAGATATTCTTGAGGCCAACTGACTGATCGAAGTGCAACATAGACCGTTATTCGTGCTACACACGCAAAACTCCACATATTTGTCAAGCGCATAGCTCATGAGATGCTGTATATGTACGAGCTAGAGCCATTTATGCACTGCCGTATATACAGCACTAGTGTCTATAACACTAGCGGGAGTCCAGTACTTTCCCGCACCCTTCCCCTTGAGTATACAAAAATATGTATGTTAATACGCTGTATATACAGCATACAATGGTGAAAATCCTTCCGGTTTCAAGGGGTTAACGAGGTCTGCAATAACGGTAAATACGTATCCAGAGAGCTCCTGCTCGATAGTTTTTAACAGGACTATCAACATTGAAGAAACAGATATTCAGGTCACAGCACTTCAAAATGTATCCTAATTATGAGGGTCTCAAAACCCAGACACATTTTTGATTAGCTCTTTCGACATAGACCGGTTGAATCTGACCTCCGAAATCCTGTGGAGAAAATATAACAAACACAGGTTAGAATCTGATCAACACAGTAGCCCATCGCCCACATTACGCACGGACAGGGCAGGGTTCGCTGCCCCGGTGCTTGGCTGCACAGCCTTGCACAGAAAGGTGGATGAGCACGCAAAACATGTGCATCAGGGTTTGCATTTGTGACACGAATGTGACCAC